CCCAGAAGGGGCCAACACACCCCTGCGGTCCCCAGGGTGGGCACATGACTCCGTACCCTGCCCCTCTCTGCAGGCACCGCCCCGGCAGCTCCCATTGCCATGGTTCCCCATTCCTGGCCAATGGGAACTGTGGGGGCAGTGTTTGCAGGCAGGAGCAGCGCACAGAGATGTGCCCCTCCCCCGGGCCGCAGAGGCATGCTGGCCACTTCCGGGCTGGGGTACGCAGGGAGCCTGCCTTAACAGCAGCCCCACTGCACCACTGGACTTTTAGTGGCCGGAGATCGCAATCGACTGGGAGAGTCTCCAGAATCGACCAGTCAATCGTGATCTACGGGTTGGTGACCACTGACCTACAGTCTTGTCCAATAAAAGCATTTCATTCTTACTCATGCACATAATGTCATTAACTCCAGATAGTGGGGACTGCTTACAAAAGCACATTTGCAGAATTAGGCCCTTATCAAGTAAAAAGTGTTTGTGTCATCCAGATACAATTAAAATTAAAATTTGAACAAAACTGTACATTAGATCACAGAAAGCCCTTGGAAGTATATGATGACAATGTTTTAGTGCAGGATATGGAAAAGAAAAAGAGTTTCCAAATTAGCCTGATAAGATCAAAAGCAGTAGCTGGCTCAGTAATTAAACAGGACCTTGTGTGGAATCTTTTTAGAGATACTTTTCTGTTACTGACAGCAGGGTCATCCATGTGTAGATCTTGGAATGCAAAGTGCAGCACTTACCCAAAGAATCAATGTAGGAAGCTTTAGCATGTGCTTTCTATAGTCTGTCTTAACCTGGCACCTAGGCCACATGAGGAAGTGGATTTTGTTTGCAGTCTAGCTTTTCTACAGACTTCCTTCCTATTGTGCTAAATTATGAGAGGTAATTTTATGCTGTCAACTATTTCCTAATGTAGATTGAGAAGTGACTGCCAAAGTCCCCATTAGGTCAGGAAGTCACAGACTAAGACCATGAATTTATCAAGCAGTGGTATTATTTTAGAAGACTTTTTGTTTTCTTTTTGAACTACATGAAAAAGACTTCCTTCCTCTCTACAGATGACCATTCCTGCCTTTGCTATAATTCTTGAGAGAGGGGGTGGAAAGGGAAATCAAAATTATTTTACTATCTTTGTTTTTGAAGAAGTTGACCTTTTTATAAGAATGACATCTATGCAGAGACATTTTTTATTCATTGGAATCAAGCCAGCACAGTTTATTTTGACACCAGTTCATATCCTTTCTGTGGAGTGAATAGATGAAATTCCACCCTCCGCAGATGGATTAGAGAATCTTTCCCAATCATGTTTGAGTTTTAATAAAAATTAGACACTGTTTTTATAGCTACTAATTTAATTCCTTTTGTTATCCCCAATCTGAAGGAACTCCAGTTTACTGTAATATTCTGCAGGTAACTGAAATTCCCCTATGACAAGTTAAATGCTAATGGTATTCATGCTCACCTTTTTATATCTTTGTCTTGACCAGGATTCTGTTGCTCTTTCAAGGCTAATCTCAGGGATCATACCATATAGCTGGATCAGCACCAGCCATTTTAGCTGAGGTTACAAAATAGTTTCCATTCTAATCTGTTCTTGGCTGCTCAGAACTGCAGACAAGTTAGCTTTGTAGTTAACTGCCCCATCCCCTGAGTTTTGCACCTAAGGTAGGTTTTACTGTTAATTAAAAATAAGTTGCATATTGCATGGCTGCTGGCTACATTATTAAAATATATGGCACAGAGATTAGAGAAATTGCCATATAAAAGTCTGAGTCAATAAATATATTCAAGATCATCAGGGGAATGAGAGGAGACTAAAGGAGATTGACTCGTTTAGTCTAGCAAAACAAAGGCTGAATGTGGCTGTGATTGCTCTCTATAAATACATCAGAGGATAAACATCATAAAGGTAGAAGAGCTATTTAAACTAAAGGACAATGTTCGCACAAGAAAAAATGGGTATATTCTGGCCATGAATAAATTTACACTGGAAAGTAGAAGATTTCTAACAGTCATGGAGCGAGCATCAGGTACAACTTTTCAGTATGAGTAGTGGGGGCAAACAACCTAATTAGTTTTAAGATGGCAGCTTGATTCATTTATAAATGGGCTTATATGATGGAGTTGCCTGCAATATTAGTGGACTGGACTCGGGGACCCAGGAGATCCCTTCCAGTTCTAAATTCCTATGTTGAATCCCTGTGACAAGGAGAAAAAGAAAAAAGAATGAAAACAAGTACAAGATCAACACAACATATGTGCCCCATAGACTGTACAACAATGTATTACATTAAATTGTACGATCTAAAAACAGTGTGTGATCATATAATTAAAGTCTATGTCATAATTCAAATACACGCGAAGGCAGAATTAAGGTTATGCATAGAAATTTAACTTTGTGATTTTCTAAATTTTTTGTGTTTAAACATGCAACCTTAATGTACTCTTAAAGTGAGACTGTCTCTTATCCAGTGTGCCTGTGCAAGGGATAAGTGAGTGTAATGAGCCCCTTTTCTTCACTGTGAAGGCTACACTTATCACAGGTAGCAGCATCAGAGAAAGAACAGCCTTTTCCGGGCTGTTACACCCTACACTGGGGAGTAGATGGGGCTTTGGCTACACCCCTTGCTCTTAAATGCACTGTCCAGCACAGCTAAGCTGACTCAAAGAGGGGAGCAATCTGTGCCAGGTATAGGGCTGGCATAGATCACTTCTCCCCCTTGGAGCAGGGGAACTAGGGAATAGATTATGAATCTGAGTCACAATCTGATCTCTGGTCTGCTTCTGGATCAATGCAGTTGCCCGCTGCCCCTTAAACAGGGCTTGTGACACCACCACAATTCATCCATTAATATAGTTTTTAATAGATGTTTTATATGAATCTGTCTCAGTTCTGTTGCAAGGATCCACCATTAAAATTAGCAAATTGTAATACGAACTATAATAAGAGTCTTAAATCATTAGGCTCTGTTCCAAGTTACAATAAGTAGTGCAATACAATGAGAATTCCAACAGAGCTACAACTAAGAAACAATGATGCATTAGATAGATGCTACTGCAGTTAAATCCATGAAGGTCTTAGTGAGTTTAGATGCCAGATGGGGCAGTGTCTCGCTGGAGGCAAAGATGATGCTAAAAAGTTGTTCTAACCTCAAATGGCCATATTTCAATCACTTCCTTTCTTATTTTTTTTTTAATGGAGATATCCCATCTCCTAGAACTGGAAGGGACCTTGAAAGGTCATCAAGTCCAGCCCCCTGCCTTCACTAGCAGGACCAAGTACTGATTTTGCCCCAGATCCCCAAGTGGCCCCCTCAAGGATTGAACTCACAACCCTGGGTTTAGCAGGCCAATGCTCAAACCACTGAGCTATCCCTCCCCCTCATTTGGAATCCCAGGTAAATGTAAAACAAAAACAAACAGAAAGCCCAAACAAATATAACATTCTCCACTAAAATATGAATGGATTTAAGAGGATGCAGCTGTCTTTAGAGATTAGACTATTCCAAACAGTGGAGCCATTTATTGTCTACAAAGATAAATCTTGCACTCTCAAATGAGCTGCTTAATGCTTCATGTACTGAGTCGGTACCAATGCATGTCATAAATCCTTGACGGGTTAGTAACCCACTTCTAGCTAACACTGGCTGCCACAGCATCTCTTTTCTCCTATGTGGTCAGCTTCAGGGAATTAGGGCAAATTTACATCGCTAATTAGAAACAGGTAGTTATTCAGCAATCAAGAGTAACATCCCAGAAGACTTGCCATGGTGTCCTCAGCTCCATTGCAACTGGGAATGTAATGTAAGTGGAATAATGAACTCAATGGTGAGGAGTGCAGTTATGTTACTAACAAGAAATGGATTGGCATATGTCAAGAATTTCTGCTATGAAGCAATGCACGTTCCCTCCCTTTAGGATGTGTTTATAACACAGCTAAGTTCAGTAAATCACCTAGGCCACATGGGGTTCACCTAAGGCTTCCAGAGAAACTAAAATGTGAGATGGTTTGAGCAAAAGACAATATGCAGAAAATAATGCATTTCTCTAAAATATAGTTGTCCAAATTCAGTCCTCAAGTGAGCAAGCACAATTCCTTTAAAAATGAAGCTTCAATTTGTCCCAGTATGTATATACCCTAAAACAGCTATTGTTTCTGAAGAAAGAAAAATAGACAACTAACAAAGTATGGGATGAAATACTGTTATGTATTAAAATCTGGCTAAGCAATAGGAAACAAAGAGTCCATAATGAATGTCAATTCCACAAAGTAGCTCAGGGATAAGAGTTCTTCAATATATTTAAGTGTTGGAAAATTAAATGGACAGTGAGGTGGAAAAATGTAACAGTAATACAATGGGCTCAGAAAGCTTGGGTTTAGGTTTTGGCAAAACATCAGTCAACATGGTTTGGTTTATAGGCTAGAGGAAGATGTGAAAGACCGTAATCCTTGTTAGGCAGACATAAAAAGAAAGGTATTACATTTATCTTATTTGAGTAGAGTTGTTTGAGGATTTATGCCATTCATGTGGTAAACTCCAGCGAGTTCTAAATTCCAGTATCAGACAGAAAGTGAATGAAAGAAGTGAAATAATAATCTATTAGAACACTCTGAAACATACCTTTGAAGTCATTGACACAGACGGGACAGTGAGAGTGAATGACACTCAGTGTAACGTGGCTGAGTTTAGTTAGGATTTATGCAAAAGATATCCATAGATCCGGATAAACATTTACCCCAAGGCTGGAAGAGTGAGTCAGAAACTCTGAAACAACTTTCACAACAATCAAAAACATACACAAACCTTTACAGAAGGTACACTCTGCCTGCCATCTACTGATGCAGAAGGCCATGATGTGACCTAGAGACCTCAGTTTAAGTATATAATCTCTACATCCCAGAACCACAACCCCAAATGGATGAGATTTATGCTTTCTTCTACAAGTTTGGCATAGGGAAGGAGTTGCAAAAAACACAACATACA